TTTTGAAAACTGGCTTGCTCGCATGGTTGTCCTTCATCTAGTGTTCTGCCAACCCTATTCAGGATGACTCAAGTGAACAACTTGTAGACGACAGACAACAGGCAGATCGGGCGATAGTTGCCAATGTCGTGAATGTCTCCCTTCTTGTACAGTAGTACAGTCCTGCTGATTTTTCACTGGGACGGAACCTTGCATTCTGACAGGTAGCGTGTGAAGAGCCGAGCCAGTGTATTGATGAGCACTAACGAAAAGTTCTTCAGGTGTTTGGGTCTGACCTTGTCTGGGCTGGGCGCTGTTTGCTTCTTTACCAACAAAATGGCATGTCGGATTTTGGAAGGGAGAACTTTGGGAACAACATAACCATCCTGCGGAATTTGGTATGTGGGCAGGTGGACGTGGCTATCGAAGAGATCTGAGTAGAAGTCATGGATAATCTTCTCCGTTGCCCCTCTGGAAGATGTGATAGATCCATCAGGATGTCAGAGGGCAGTCATCTTGGTCTTGTAGTTAGCGAAGGACAGGCAGGCGTTGCGAATGCTTTTCCCAGCTTCTGCTGCATCTGCCAGCACTACTGCTCTTCTCTCTTTGAGGTCTTCCTTTATCACTCCTCTGCACTGCTTTGTGAGCTCGGAAGTTTGCTTGCGGTTGCCTGAGGCTTGTGCCAAGCCACATTGGTGAATGAGCTCGAGAGTTTTCGAAGACAAGTGTCTTTTTGTGGCTATCTCTCTCTCTCAGTGTTCTTAGAACAATCATGAAGGTGCTTGAATCAGTCGACCGTATTCCTTGTCGATGTTGTCAACAATGGTATCTTCCCATGTTGCTGCAATAGTGCCAAGGAACTCCCAGTTGGTGGTCGTTCTGGGAGTTCTCTTCTTAAACTTAAACTATGCATTCCTTTCTCCCCTCTCTGTGAAGTAGAATTTTGTACGAAGGAGATGGTGGTCCGATCCTGTTTGGAATTTTGGGACAACAGCGACATCAGTCAGGCAAGACCATCGATTGAATATGATGTGGTCAATTTCGTTGTGGAACCATCCACCGGGAGATTCCCATGTCCAATGTTTAGATTCGGCCTTCTGGAATTGTGAGTTGCCATGAATGGTCTTGGTCGACATGATGTACTCGGACAGTCTCTCACCCTGTTCGTTCCATTCTAGGCCATGGGTCCTGATGTGGAGTTCTTCAGCTGATCTTCTCGGTCCTATCTTGGCATTAGAATCACCGACAACGATCTTGTAGAAAGTGTGGTCTTCTTTATAGAACTTCTCCAGCTCCATGTAGAACTTCTTAATTTCTCCATCATCATAATTGGATGTTGGTGCATAGACAATGTAGACAGAAACTGCCAGCAGTGAGCCACATCTATTCAAGTGTAATCGTCTGATTCAGGTTGTTAAGCACTCAAATGAATCAATGTTTATGGCCAAGTTCGTGTTGACAAAGACACCGACACCACCAACGTCTCTTTTGTTGCATGTTCCGAGGAACAGTTCTTCCCCAGTGTCTAAAATGGCGTGATGTGAGTGGTGCTTTCTCATCTCAGTCAAACCAATGATGTTGTACTTGATCTTTTGTGCTTGCACCATCAGGTCCTCCATGGATGCATCCGATATCAGCGTACGTGCACTGAAAGTACAGACAGTCGTTTTTGTCCTTCTTCGTTTTGGCAACCTTGGTCGACCCTGAGATTTAATCAGCCTCTCCTTCCTCATCCGTCTTGACACTGCCATATTGGTGGCTCTTTCAGGGTCAGGGGAATGAGACCCATTGTATTTACTGGTTTTGGCATATCTAATACACCACAGATAGCTTGCCAGGCTCTGCCTTGTGGGCGGAACATTCTCGGTAGCTTGCCAGGCTCTCCTAGAGGGATAGAGGCTTTTAGGTTAGCCTCTTATCGTCCTTGCAGGTGTTCCCATGGTTCAAACCATATTTCAACGCAATCAAATATGGTGAGGTAATCTTGTATTAAGTGTTTTATGATGTGTCACGCGGCCACAAAAAAAAAACCCTCACTCACAAAAATTAAATCAAGGGTAGTGCCAAGAATTGAGACCTGATCTCCTGTAAGCAGAGGTCAAAACAAGATAAATGGGACTGTAAGAGAGTGTATACCTCTAGTTGTCCCTTCTTTTCTTTTATTTGCTATATTGACTCTCCAGTTCCTAGTTTGCACTTATGAGGACCTAAGTTTGATCCCTGACACCCACTGAACACTCCAGATGTGACCCTGGTTCTCCCAGTACTGACAGGCCCAGGCACTCAATCATCTAGCCTATTTGGTTAAGTATATTGGGCTACCACCCCTCCCCACCAAAAAAAGAAGAATTGGAGTAGTTTTCCTTGGCTATCAATGAGTTGCTAGATGTCACCAGTCATTATTACTCATTGCTAATATTTATTTGAGGTTTGCATGCACAGGTCCCAGATTCTATTCCCATCCCTGACACCACATGGTCTCTTGAGCATTACCAGTAACGATCCCCAAGTACAGAGCCAGTAGTCCCTGAGCAAACTGGGTATGATCCAATGCCCACCATAACCCCCCACCTGCCCCCCCCCAAAGAAAAGAGCCAGAGAGATAGTATAACATGTAATGCACTTACTTTGCATGTGGTCAATCCAGGTTCAATCCTCAGTATCATATGTGGTTGTCCAAGCACCACCAGGATTATCCCTGGGCAGAGAGCCAGGAGTAAGCTCCGAGTACCACTGGGTGTGGCTCCAAATCTCTCCCTTCCAAAAAAAATAGCCACCTTAAAACAAACAAAACCCAAATTTAGGTCAGGGAGATAGCTCAAAAGGGTAGAGCACATGCCTTGAATGCATGAGGCCCAGAGTTCAAACCCTGACACTGGACAGTCCCCAGCATTGCTAGGTGTTGAGGCCCTGGTAGTTCCCAAACAATGGTGGGTCAGAGCATGAAACTGCCTAAGCACCAAACCTCAAGGCCTGCAGAACCCGACAAGCATCAGGTGTGGTCCTAGGACCCAGAGCACCACTAGGTCTAACTCATCTTTAGTTCTACTTTATTTTTGATGTTTGGCTTCATGCTTTATTTGGCCACAACCAGCTGTGTTCAGGGGTTACACCTGGCTCTACACTCAGGAACTACTTCTGGTGGGGCTTAAGGGCCACATGGAATGCCAGGGATGGAATCAGACTCAGCTGCATGCAAGACAAGTGCCCTACCGACTGTACTATCACTCTGTCCCTCAGTTAGTTCTATTTTAAAGGTCTATTTTAGACACTAGGAAGAGAGCTCAATGGGTTACACACATTCTCTGCTTACAGGAGGTCAGGTCTCAATTCTTGGCACTACCCTTGAGCAGCACCAGGACTGACTGCTGACCGCTTGCCAGGAGAAGACCCTTAGCACCTTCCAGCTGCAGCTCAAAAAAAAAATATCCTACTTTGACTTTTTATTTTTGTCACACCTGGCAATGCCAGGAGTTACTCCCAGCTCTGCACTCAAGTATTATTCCTGGCGGTGCTCGGGACCATACAAGGGATACAGGAGATTGAACTTGGGTCAGCCACATGCAAGGCAGATGCCCCATACCCGCTGGCCCCAACATCTTACTTTGGAATTCCTGAATATAGGAGATGGGAACTGGGGAAACGGCTCAGTGTGCAGGATTGAGTTTGAACCCTGGAGGCACCCGAGCACCTCCAGAGTGGCCCTGGTGGTCCCCAGACACAAGGGCCCTAGCAACTCTGCATCTTTGAGTCCTAACATTGAATCACTTGGCATGGTTGGCCAAGTACATTCTAGGAGTGTGTATACAATTTATACTTTAGAGGTGTGTGTGTGTGTGTGTGTGCGTGCGTGTGTGTGAATATAAATTCTAGGATGCTTGTAAATTTACAGTTTAGGGGTGTGTTTGCAAAATTTACATTTTAGGGGTCTATATTCTGAGGTGTCTATGTAAATGACATTTTAGGTGTGTGTTAGATTTACATTATTAAAGTTACCTTTCAGGGGTGTGTAGATGATCATTTTGGGTGTGTAAATTTTACATTTTAGGTGTCTTGTGTAAAGGCACATTCAGGGATGTCTGCAAATGTACGTTTTAGGGTGTGTGTGTGTGTGTAAATTTTACCTTCTAGGTTGCGGGTGTACGCCAACGTATAATTTTGGAGCGTGTATAAGCGTACACTTAATGTGTGCAAATTTGACATTTCAGAAGTGGATGTAGATTCTAGAGCATGCGCGAACGCCGTGCATTTCAAGGGTTGCGGTGCCTGTGCAATTTCTGCATTTTAGGGGGTGTACGCGAGTGTGGAGGGGCTGAGCCCCGAGAGCGCCAGGAAGCGGAGGAGCTGTTGAAGCCGCAGCGTTGGCGCGGCAGGCGGGGGGCCACGCCCGGGAGGCGCCGGCGTCGGTCCGCTCGACGCAGCGCGGAGTCGGAGCGCGGCCGGGAGAGACGGCCGCGACCGCCGATTCTGCGCGTCCGCCGTCACACCCCCTTCTGCGGCCGCACGCCCATTGTCACCCCGGCCCCGTGGCCCACCGGGCCCCCGCGTCGTTCCCGAGGGGTCTCGGTCCCCGCGGTCAGCTCGGTCCGGAGCCCCTCCGCAGCCTGCGGACCCCGGGGGTCGCCGGTCGGCCTCAGCGACCGCCTCCTCGGCCCCCTCGGGCCGCCGGATCACCGCAGGCCACGCCTCCCCGGCAGGAGGTCCGGCCTGCTCCTCGCGCTTTGTTCCCGGAGCAGGTTTCCGAGACGCCGCTCCCTCTCAGCTCCAGCTGTTTTCCTGCCCGAGCGAGCGGGGCCGAGGGCGGCAGCGCCCCCGGCGGCGCGCCTCGGCCCAGGAAGGGAGTGTCCGCCGCCGCCACCGACCCGCCCGCCCCCGCCCGGAACGCGGGAGCCCGGGCCCGCGGCGCCCGCCCCCCGCCCCACGACCGCGCTCCCGATTGGCTGCTCCGAGCCACGTCACGGGGCGGGCCCCGGCGGCTGCCGGGAGCCGGCGCCCGCGCGTGCGCAGACGGAGCGCGCTGAGCGGAGGGGGAGGTGGCCGGCTGCTTCTCGCGCGTCCGCCATTTTGTTGCTGTGGCTCTTGGGAACGGGCTGGGCAGAGGCGCCCCGAAGGCGCGACGCTCCCTGGGAGTCCGGTGCTTGGCGAGGCGCCTGCGGTCGGTCCCGGGCCGTGGGGGTTGCGGAGCCGGCGTGCTGTAGGTCAGGGGTCCCTGGAGGGAACCCCCCAGGGGGAGCCCGGAGCCCAGAATCCCGGGGCGGCCTCGGCGCGCCGCGCGCCCTCGTCTGCCGCGCGACCCCGGACTCGGCACCGGTTCCCCGGGCCGGCGGCCTCCGCGAGGCGGCCCCGGAGCAGGCGGGCGGCGGCGGAGGATGCTGCGGGACCGAAGCCGAGAGGAAGGCTCGGCCTGTTAGAGCGCGCCTCGAGGTGTGCCGAGAGGCCCGTCCGCGGCCCCCAGAGCCGTCGGTCGGGCGCGGCGTCCGGATCGGCAGAGAGCAGCCGCCGCCCCCCACCCACCGCGGAGGCCCCCTGGCCGACACCATGTCCTCCGCCAGGTTCGACTCCTCGGACCGCTCGGCCTGGTACATGGGGCCGGTGTCGCGCCAGGAGGCGCAGACCCGGCTCCAGGGCCAGCGCCACGGCGTGTTCCTGGTGCGCGACTCGTCCACCTGTCCCGGGGACTACGTGCTGTCGGTGTCGGAGAACTCGCGCGTCTCCCACTACATCATCAACTCGCTGCCCAACCGCCGCTTCAAGATCGGAGACCAGGAGTTTGACCACCTGCCGGCCCTGCTGGAGTTCTACAAGATCCACTACCTGGACACCACCACCCTGATCGAGCCCGCGCCCAGGTACCTACCGGGGCCCCCCGGGAGCGCGCCAGGGGGTGTGGTTGAGCCCCGATGCCTGCTGTCGGAATCAATTTCTTTTCCTAGAGGTCTTGAGAGCAAGAGGTTCGTTCGTGTTGGACCTGGGTCCCTGGGGCTTGAGAAGGGGGCGGTCGGTTGTGTGGCGGATCCTGCAATCGCTGCCCTCCATCTCTTCTCGGCTCTGACTGTCCGAGGAACGCGAGGGTCGTTTGCTTTGTAGAATCCTCTCTTGGCTAGGGTACCCCGCCCCCCGACACCCCCACCCGAGAGCGTGTACGCAGCGCGGATCTCTGCGATGCAGGTTAAAGACCTGGTATGCCGCATTCTTGACGCTCAACAAAAGAAAGATTTTTTTTTTTTGCTTAGAAATTAAAATATTTAGCTGTGAGAAAGAATTGTCGGTTGGTATTCTGGTGCCAAGTTTAAAATGAGCCGGACGCCTATTTTGTCACACGTTGATTAAATATATATGTTCTATAGTCTCTTCTCCCCCTCCCCCCACCCCTGTACCCAGTTGGACCATTAATGGGCTAGAGAGCCATTTGGTAAAATTCCAAGAATGGAATAAAGCTAGACTCTTGCTTACTAAAGGAAATTTTGGATGGCGATATTTTAGCTCGATTTGGATATACTTTTTGTGTCATTTGTCTAACCATACCTGTTTTTTAAAGTTAAGACCCAAAATGATAAAAAGAGTAACATGCTTTCTCTTTTCAAGTAAAATGCTTTATTTGTATTACTTGCTTCAGTCTGCCTTAATCAATATACTCACCAGATTAATAATGCCACGTTTGTCCTGAAAAAAAAAAATGCCTTGGGGCCAGGGAGATAATGCAGTGCTGGGTACAAGCTTTACATGGTGGATGCCTGGTGGATGCCACAATGTGGTCTCTGGAGCAGTATCACCCAAAATGAAGTGAAATTAAGATAAAAAGTTAAACTCTCCACTTTTTAAAAAAAAATTTTATTATCTTGGCTTTTTGGATAACACCAGCAATGCTCAGGGGATACTCCTGGCTTTGCACTCAGGGATTACTCCTACCGATGCTTGGAGGACCTTAGCAGGATGCCAGAGATCCAACCTGGGTTGGCCACATGCAAGGCAAACACCCAATCTGATGTACTATCATCCTGTACTATCACCACTCCAGCCCCAGGCCAGATTTTTGTTTTGTTTTTTAAAACAAAAACTGACACATTTTCCAGGATGACAATTTTTTGAATGTTGATTGTTGTTTCTGTAGACTAGAGACAGAGAAATGACTATAAGGTCAACTACAAAACAAATGCACTTAGAAAGTGGGAAAAGGTGACTGAGTCACATACTGTATGTAACAAAAGATCTAGGTGCCAAGAACTGATGAAACCTTCAGGTTTCTTTGGGGAGTCGGGGCACACACAGTGGTGTCAAGGGTTACTCCTAGCTATGTACTCAGGAATTGGTCTTGATGGTGTTTAGGAGACCAGATGGGATGCTGGAAATTGAACCCAGGCACCCTACAGTACTATTTCTCCAACCCCAAAACCGTCAGGTTTCTGAGGAAGCTGGTAATTGGAGTAAACATTGAACATGACATAATTCCAATATAAGAAACTCAAGAGAACTTTAGAGTCCATTATAATGTTTTTTTTATTGTTGTGGGACCACATCTGGCGATACTCAGGGGTTACTCTTGAGTCTGCATTCAGGAATTACTCTTGACAGTGCTTGAGGAACCATATGGGATGCCAGGGATCAAACTTGGGTCAGCTGTGTTCATGGCAATGCCCTACCTGCTGAACTATCTCTCTGCCCCCCCTCCCCCATAATGATGTTTTGAATAGATTACTTTAACTGGTGGTGAATCACATAATTAATTTCAGACTTATTAAGCCAGGCCATGAAAGACACTCCTGCTTTTTCAAAAAGTGTGAGCTGATGACTTGATCCTCTTCTAGAGGGAGAATAAAGTAACACTATAGTACCTAGTACCTTTGTACTATCTACAAAATGCCATCCAAATTTCCCAAACGTGTCTTACCAGACACCAAATCAAATTTTGTCTTTGATGCTTGGCTTTGTTCCCTCTTGTTTTGCTTTATTGTGGCCTGCTGGGCTGCATCTTTTTTTTTTTTTTGGCTTGGTAGCCTACCTACCTCCTCATGCTTGTGTACCTTTGCTCTAGTTTTTGGTGCTTAACTGATTGCTTAACTCCACCCCACTCTTCACATATTGAAATCTCCCAGTTGCACCCAGGGCTTACTTCTGCTCTGCAGTCAAGGAAAGTGATCCATAGCTCTCCCTGCCCTACCCACTGTGCTCTCTCTCAGGCCCCACACCTATTGAAATCTTACTTTTTTATGTCCACAATAAGCAGGTTACTGTGGCTTAGGTTTTTTTATTTTTCCCTGGTGTTTGGGAGGACAGTCTGTTAGTTTGCTTAAATTAGTTCCTGGTTGGATTTACTGTATACTGAGTAGTTGGATTGCTTTCTTATCCCAAAATTCACAGGTTAGGTAGCTACACCGTTGTAGAGAGCTAGCTAAATGTTCCTCATGCCCCAAACTGGATATATTGAGTTAGCATCTCAGACATCACAGTTAAGCTCTCAGGAGTTTCTTGTTTTTAGTTTCTTCCTTTGGGTGCCAGGGCTTGAACCTATGGTTTCATAGACAGGACACATACTCTACCACTGTGCTAACACATCCTTGTCCCTTGTGTGTTTATTTAAGGACTGGTGTTTTCTTTGTTCTAGTACAGGCTTTTCTGTTGAAATGTTTCCTCATATTTTTTATTTGGTGGGGGGGGGTCTTGGGGGTCAAATGCAGGACCTGACATATGAAAGCCAAGTGTCCTGCCCCTGTGCTCCATCCTACAACTGTTTCCTGGCTTGTAGTTTTATAGTTTCAGTTAAAATACTTACAAGAGAACTATATCCGAGTGAAGGTATTGGAAAAAATGATGCTCTTTCATGGAAGTTTTATTATTTACTAAGTGATCAGACTAAGAATTGGTAGAAAAATAAAAGTTATGATTTAAATACTATAAAGGGAATAAAACTAAATGTAATAGATGAAATTCTATAGTAGAAGGACCCAAGAAATAGTGCAGAAGTTCAGGCACTTGCCTTTGTGCTGCCAACCCCATTTGATTCCCGGAGCCCCACCAGAGTGATTCCTGAGCACAGAGCCTGGAGAAAGCCCTGGAGCACTGTGGGAATTTGTGTGTATGTGTGTGTGTGTGTGTCATGTGTTGTCTGTCATGTGTCCTCCTCTCTCCCTCCCATCGGGTGTTCTAGAAGGTGACTACCTCAGATAGCGATCAAAGGAAACAGTGTAGAGAAAAGCTATCCTTGGAAAGACTTGGGATAAAGTGAAGGAAAACAGGGACTGTGTAATTAATTTAAGGATTTAAGAACTTAAAAAATAAATAAGTGGAGGAAAACTCCTAATCAGAACAAAGATTTTATACAAAGGTCCTGAGGTGAAAAGCTATTCCATGTGTTGGAAGATCGAGATTTTTCTGTTTTTATTTTTTTCCCTTTTTGGGTCACACCTAGTTACTCCTGGTTCATGCACTCAGGAATTACTCGTGGTGGTGCTCAGGAGACCATATGGGATGCTGGGAATCGAACCCAGGTCGGCTTCATGCAAGGCAAACGTTCTAGCCACTGTGCTATCACTCCAGCCCCGGAAAAATGAGTCTTAAAGAGAAGAAAGTTATATTAGGAGAGCTTGGAGGTGAAATGGTGAAGGTGAAAAGAAATTGGATTTTAAAGTGAGGGATGGCCATCGAAAGAACTTTGAAGTAGAGCAGCGAACTGGAGTGAACGACTGTAATCCAGGTGCAAAATAATGATGACTGATAACTTGGCATATGCCATCCATCCATCATCATGTAGACCCAAACTTCCTTGCTTCAGCAGCACCCCTTAGTTGTACCTCAAGGCTTCCACCTTGAGTTCCTGGGCTGCCTTGAGAGACTGTGTAATATTTTGGTTTTGGGGTCACCTCAGGCCTTACTCATGAGTTTGTGTTCAAGAATCACTCTTGGCAGGAGGGAATGGGGAGACCATATAGGGTGTCAGGGATTGAAGTTCGATGGCCACATGCCCTGCCCTCTGTTACCGCTCCAGCCCTGGGATACTTTGATGTAGACAGACTATAGGCTTGGTAGGTAGGTGCTTATTTTGAAGGAAAGATTGATGCTTTGCTAAAAGGAAGTGGAGAGTATTAGGGAAGAGAAAGGAAGAAACAAAGATGACTTGGTTTATTTGTAATGTGTTTTCTGCTTTATTTTATTATTTACAGTAGTGCCAGGAATCAAAATAGGGCCTCTCACATGCTTAGACAAGTATTCTATCACTAAACCACACCTGCAGCTCTATGTTTATTTTATTAATTGGTCTTTATAGTTGTGGTATTTCTCTGATGAGCTCCCCCCGCCCTCTGGGAGGTGGGAGATGATGGAGTCATTGTTGTCAGACAGCTTGTGTTGTTTTTAAATGATTAAAGGATTCTCTTTCTGGGTACCTGAGTGTAATTTTATATTATAGGTAATTTGATAAACACATCATCTATTTTTCACTTCCATTTTGAGTACATTTTTAAGATTCTTTGGCTGGGGGGTGGAGGGGGCACACTGAGCAGTGCTCAGTGGTTACACCTGGCTCTCCACTCAGGGATCCTTCCTGGCAGTGCCAGGATGCCAAGGATTGAACCTAGGTTGGCTGCATGCAAGGCAAACAGCCTACCTGCTATACTGTTGCTGTGACCCCACATTTTAAAGATTTTATTTAAGTTATAGTTAATATTCAGGTTAAACATCACTATTTTTCAATTAGATGCTATTTTTAGTTTAATAGAGTATTTCAGCAGTTTTAGAGTGGATTGTTAAGTATCAAGTGATTTAGAAACTTAAAATGTGTGTTTTATGTTGTTTATAAACTTCATTATTTATTTATCTTTGTGGGAGGGGGCATATCCAGTGGTGCTCAGAGGCT